AATTTGAAAACTTATTTTTGCCGGTAGAAATTGTTAGCCAAAAATTAACTCTGGGCGAAACCAAAGAAACTACCCAAGCTCTCCCCTTTTTAGGTTTAATGAAGACGGGCGGCTGGGGAGAATTAACCAAAGAAATTCACCGAGGACAGTTCAGCGAAGGAGTTTTTAAACCCAATATTGAAAGTAGTCGCAGAAACGAACAAAGAAATCAACAAATAGCCCGCATTATTACGGCTATGCTTGAATGTGAAGTATTTTTTGTTGCTTATATTGAAAAATACCGAGCGAAATATACTTGAAGATTAGTTTCTTCACCCACAAAAAGAGAATTAAGAACAATCCCCACCACCTCCACAAATTCTCCCCCTTCACTAAATAAAAAAAACGAAATAGAAAATTTGCTGGATGATTGAGGAAATAAAGCCGAAAATTTTCTCGAAAAAGTGAAAAATATACTTGAAAAAGAATAAGGAACATGAACTTAATTGCGAATTTTGAAAACAAAATAGCCAACATGGCGGACAATTTTTTAGAATTGTTGGAAAAAAAATGGGAAAAAACTCGCTCGGGGAAAAAAGAAATTGAGAAACTTAAAGAACGCATTAAGGAGTTAGAGAACAAGCCTGCTACTACGGACGAGGGAACTCAAACTGACTTATCAAAAAAAAACATCCCTTTATTGTTAGAACAATGAGAACAAGTGGCCCAATGAGCCCAAGAAGAGGGCATTGATGTTAACCAAAATTGAGGTTTGAAAACTCTCAAAAACAAAATACTTACGAAATTTAAAGCCGCAAAAAATAACGCTGCTGAAACTCAAAAAAAACAAGAAGCCCAAATTACCAAACTTTCCGAAGAATTAAAAAAACTACCAGAAAAAGACGAAGCAATTAAGAGTTTAGAAAAGAAAAACGAAGATTTAAAAAGTAATTTAGAAGTTAATAAGAAATTATTAGAGGAACAAATTAATAAGGTCAAGCAGTTAGAACAAGGTAAGGGTTCTAATATTAGCGTTGAAAAAATTATCGAAGAGGTATGAGAACTTGAAGATATTGAAGAACTGTTCGAAAGTGATGAAAAAAGTAAACTGAAAAAGGAGATAAATGAAAGATTGTTGTCAGAAAAAACCGAAAAAGACAAAATTTTCTTAATATTTTTCAATTACCTCCGAACTTACTCAAACGCGCTGGAAATTAATAAGTTGGAGGAAATTTCATCGCAAGCGAGCCAAGCCCGAGAAAAATACATAGTTGATTTGGAGAAGCAGATTGAAGAACTAAAAGCCGAATTAGAAGAGCAAAAAAAAAAAAAAAAACAGTTCAGAAAAGTATAGATGAATTTAAAGACAAGAGCAGCGAAAATAATATGGGCGTGGATGATTTATTTGAAAATAAAAAAAAAATTTTCACCATAGCCAAAATTCAGGAAAGCACAGAATTTCCGCTTAATCAAAAATACAAAGGTCTAAAAATCACTTTCGCTGAACCCATTAATTATTATGACGGCTATTATCGAGAAGAAGCCAAGGGATTAATTATGCAATATAAACTCCTCCGAGAAAAAGGATGAGTGGACTTATTACAAGAAGGGAAAAAATATCAAATTATTTACGAAAGCGGCCAAGACTTTAAATTATGGGTGTCGGGGACTGACGAGAATAAAGAAAGTTGATTGTCTCCTCAAACCAAAAAATTTGAATTAAAACAACTTTCCTAACTCCCTCCTTAACTCGTTCCTTTCCTTAACCAAACCCATAATTGTTTTTCATTGCTCGTATCTTTTTAACTTTTCTTCAATCTCGGGCGTTATAGTATGCTCGCTAGTCTCTTGCTCTAATTGCTTCGTAAGTTCAATAATCTTATTTTCTAAAACCTTGATATGCTTATCTTTTTCATTATCTTTTTTGCGAAAAGCCTCAACATTTTTGCCTTGCTCTT